CCGCGTCACGTGATATACACAATAGACGCATGCGTTCCGATCTGAAAGGAACGCATGCGAACTAAGAAGGGAGGGCTGCTGGATAAAATTAGATAGGGAGAAGGGGATATATATACATAAGAGCCTTCAGGCTGGTCTGACTTTATAGACAGGCAGGCAGCCAAGAGCAGTGAGGCTCAATAAAATGCATATGCAAAAACCAGTAAGCAGCACCCTCAATATGTATGCACATAATATCAAGAATTCTATACATTATGAAACAAACATAGTATAAATATAAGACATGTTATAGGTACAGATGTATGAGTACAAAAAAGTATGTGGATACAAATATAAAATATAAAATGAAGAAAATATAAAAGTATAGGAAATATGAACCATAAAATAACAGTAAGTATATATAAGCATAGAGTAAAAAATGGGATGAATAATAAAAATAAAAATAAAATTAAAAAAATAAAGTTAAAGTACAAGGAAGATGATAGGTTGCAATAAAATCACATTTTAAATTATTACAAAAAGTTAAAAAGATCAAAATCAATGTTTAACCCTGTTGGGGCAAGAGTTTTTAAATTATATGCCCATTCCATTTCTTTCTTCCCTAAACATTTTTTAATGTCACCCCCTCTCCATGGGATATTACATGTGTCAATACCAATACATTTAAGCAATTTTGGGTTCTTTCCATGTTGTAAAAAGTGTTTCGAGACAGAATGGTTTTCATAGCCTTTTAAAATATTTCCACATGGGCATTCCAGGAGGTAGATCAAATTTTTTGTGTTGCAATGAATAAAATGTTTTATTTGATATATTTTCTGTCATTTTTGATGTGAATGATGTAGTTTTTGATTTGATAGCATCACTGGTCTGTTTGCAGACTATACATCTATTGCATTTAAAAAAAACACTGGGTTTAGTTAAAAAAATAGAGGGACTGGGAAATAAAGTGCTCTGTTTGGTATAATTATTTGTAAGGATAGACTTAAAACTGGGTGCCCCTCTAAATATAACTTGTGGTTTCTCAGGTATAATCCCAGATAAAGTGTCATCCTGTTTAAATATATGCCAATGTTTTTTTATAATCTTCTTCAAAACATTACTTTTGTTATTGAAGTCGAAAATAATTGGCAATACTGGGGCAGCTTTAGCTTCTTTCTTATTCTTATATTCTAATAATTCGGATCTGTTAGTTGCACTAACATTTTTTAATGTTTTATCTAGATCACTCCTAGGGTAGTTTTTTTGGAGAAATTTATTAGACAGCAATCGAGATTGTTCCTCAAAATCTTGTGCGAGGGAACAATTTCTGCGTAAACGGAGGAGTTGGCTTTTAGGAATTCCTTGAAGCCAAGGCTTATGATGACAACTAGATACATCAATAACATTGGTAGTGCATACCTGGCATGGCTGGCAAACAAACCTGGTCACCTATTTTAGGTACATAGATGATCTGTTTTTTATTTGGGATGGCCCAGAAAACTAATTGAATCAGTTTTTACAGCATCTTAATCAAAATGATAAAGGTATTATTTTAACTTGGGACTATAGTAAATCTTCTATACATTTCTAAGACTTAGAAATTTTTATTGATAACGAATATATTAATACTAAAACTTTTTTTAAAGAGGTAAGCACTAAAAATGTTATTGATGTATCTAATTGTCATCATAAGCCTTGGCTTCAAGGAATTCCTAAAAGCCAACTCTGTACCTATAACATGTCTTATATTTATACTATATTTGTTTCATAATGTATAGAATTCTTGATATTATGTGCATACATATTGGTTTTTGCATATGCATTTTATTGAGCCTCACTACTCCTGGCTGCCTGCCTGTCTATAAAGTCAGACCAGCCTGAAGGCTCTTATGTATATATATCCCCTTCTCCCTATCTAATTTTATCCAGCAGCCCTCCCTTCTTAGTTCGCATGCGTTCCTTTCAGATCGGAACACATGCGTCTATTGTGTATATCACGTGACGCGGAAGATACTGTAGCCGCGCGTCACATGATTATGACGCTTGCGTTCCATTTAGTCGGAACGCATGCGTTTCATTCGAGCATCACTTGACGCGGAAGCAATTCTAGCTGCGCGTCACGTGATTGCTTTTTTATCTTATTTTATACTTTATTTAACTCTCGTTTTTGCATATAATTTTTATATTTGTTTTATCTTTCTTTTATTATATTTATACACATTATTTCAACTTGTTTTCAGTTCTATTATAATACCAATATTTTGACGACGTCATTCTGGCGGGAATTTCGAATCCCCATAGTATTATTGTATGTTATATAAACCTTTGAATGTCAGGTGTGCCTTCCTTTTATTGTTATCTACTTGAAGAAGCCTTTTGAGGCGAAACGCGTTTAGATATTTTAGATATTTTATTAATTACTTTATAATAAAGAATTTAATTTGGCATAAGACACTTTATTGCCATTTTTCTTTATTTTATTTTATTTTAATTTTTGCACCTGACCTATATCCACAAGGAGCCTAAAGAATCCATAGGTGGGGATTATACCACCCAAACGTCTACACCGAGCAGTACTAGTCTGCTCTAGAGAATGTAAGTTATTTACTTTATATTCTTACGTTCAATCATATACAGAGAGCACTATATTCTCATTCTCTCATTTTGGGTCGAATAATATTAATTTGAACACCGAATCTGGGCCAGAAATCCTCCAATCAAACAGTATTTCTGCATATCCTTGAGTGGGGATCATTCCACTTCACGCGCACAATATCAGAGCTATAATCTAGCTCTGAAAAGTGTGAGTACGGCTATTTTCACTATTCTAGAATTTCATTTTCATTGATATACTGTACCATTGGAGTTCCTGTTTCTGTTTCCCTTTCATATATTCTCCACTGGATCCGAGCCTACCATTGTGAAGATTCTACACCGCCAGACGTCCCAAGACTCCTTGTCTTCCCATAAGAACCTATTATTACGGACTCTTGATAAGTGTTTTGGACTTTTTCTTATTGTTTAATTTTATAATTTTAACATTTTATACTCTATATTATTTTATATTCTGCATATGCTTTATTATAATTTTTAGGCGCATTCTTATTCTTTTTACTTGTTTTTATCGTCTAATAACTGGGGGATTATGGGGATTCCCCTCTGAGAAGTGCTGCCTTTTTATCTATTTGTGTGGCAGTTGAGCGCTGATTTTTCCTCCTTCTTTGTGGCTGTGTAGTGCCCTGCTGCGGGTGCTCGAGGAGCCGCCTTGCGTTGCGGTGATCTATCGTGTGTGGTTGGAGTTGACTGGCTGGACCGTGCGGCTGGAGTATAGTCACCTCTGTTGCGGTGAGTACTTGAGGAGGTCTTGTGCTCAGTCTCATCTGTTCCCGCCGTGTTGCAGCCTTGCGTGGATGAGGTGAGTGTTTGAATCTCTGCCGCCATCTTGTGGCTTTGTTCCCTGCTGGAGCTACTCATTGTCGCTGGGGGTCAGGTGGCGGCTGTCGGGGTGAGTGGCTTTCTGACGGTAGTAGGGTACTTTGTTGAAGTCTGTGCTCCAGCTTGAGACAGAATTCTTGAAATATGCGGTCCAGGTTGGACACATGGTCGTGTTGCATCTCTTGGTTGTCTGAGGGCTGCGTGGTCTCTGCCATCTTTGGTGTGCCTCTCATCTCTCCGGCTAACCTCCCTGTTGTTACCGCTGTGTCGAGGAGGACCCCCGGGGTGAACCGGGATTACCCACGCCGGTCCAGGGGGGAGGGGGCTGCGGGTTGTCCGCTTGGAGCAGTAGGTCCTAAGGCAGCTCTAGACCGGGAGATCGGCCACCTCTCCCATCCGTTGCCCGCCAGGCCGCACACTCTCGCGGGCATATCTGGCCGTCTGTTGTCCGCTCATGGGCCGCATCACCGGGTCACCACGGGGATTGATGGCTGGTAAGTCGCTTAAGGTCTCAGTTGAGGGTTGTTTGCGGTCAAAAAATGCCATTTTAACTTAGCATAGTGAGGAGCTCTAGCAAGGCACGTCTTCCCTCCATGAAATTTAGGCCCCGCCCCCCAGGACTTCTCTTTTTAACATGTGATTAGTGTTGAGATTCTTTTAAAAATCTGCACTTTTATGCAAATATTCCAGTAGGGAGCTCTGAAAGATAGACAGAGTTTGCCATTCTACAAAAGTAAAGAAACACTCCTGGCACCATAACCAATTCAGCAAGGTGTCGTGATTATGGTGCCAGAAGAGTCCTGTCACCCCCCCCCCCCATGTAAACAGTTAAACCATGTGCCAACAGTTTGACATCTTACCCAGTATTCTCTTGGGCGGCTTACTGGCTCGCTGTAGCCAGAAGTGAGAATTGGAAGCTCCTGGCAAGTACTTCTGTTAACTCTTGTGAGCTTAACTCTGCAGTGCAGTGCCAGCTCATTGGCTGAGAGTCATTTATTCAGTATCAGTCAATAAGCTGGGTGCTGCACAGCCGACGTTAGGTCAGTGAAGACAGTTTCCAGCTACAGAGAGGCAGAGAGCAGAGATCAGCGAATCCCAGCTGAGAAGTCAAACCAGTAGTAAGCTGGCTACTTCATTTGTGATGTTACAAGTGAAGTAATTAATGAACTAAAGTCATGAAAAGAACATTCCAAGTTTCAGTCAAAAATAGTTTAACTAAACGGTGCAGTTTAGTTATTGTGGCCTAGAATTTGGAATTCACTTTGATTTCCCAACAATTCACACTTTATCTCATACCCTTGAAATTATGAGAAAGGAGCAGACAGGAATAGAAATAGGCAGTGTTTCCCTATAACTCCCTGCTAGTCAGTCGTATACTGAAAGGGAAACTTTTAGCACCATAAGCACTCCAGATCAGTATAGTGGTTATGGTGTCATGATTCAATGGGCGCCATCCCCTGGGTTTCTGTGAAACCGTTTTGGAGAAGTTTTACAAAAACTGGGGTTCCCCTCGGCACTCATAGACAACCCCATAAATAGTTACTCAGACAAACCCAAAAAATGACACTTTGATATTATATGTGCGAATCCAACTAACCTTGAATGGTAATTAGAGACTGATAAGTAACTTGCCTTAAGAATTAAGCTGTATTCTCTCCCCTCCGTAATGTCAAATATGCAATCATTTGCCCTAATTCACCAGATCGGTAATGAACACAATCATTTCAGGTCAGTAAATCTTTTAATCTATACAACTTGCAAACTGTATGAAATAAAGTGCAATGCTATCTGATGACAGCCCACACATCAGCAATATTTGAGGATAACAAACCCACCAATTAATATAAAATCCAGCCAAATAATATAAAATGGACAAACTACTACACAAGAATTTTATTTTTCCCCTTTTACAAAATACCATATTGTACAAAACATATTTAGTTTTTGACTATTTTGTTTAATTTGTCACTACAGAAGTTGCCTCCAAGTCTAGGTCATATATAGAGGTTACTTTGAATTTCGGAGTCTTTGACCATTTTCTTCAGTATTTCCTTGATATCTGTTGAGTCCTACAGACAAAAGAAGAATGGATAAAAATGAACACAATGCTGACACACCTACAGTAACAATGCCATCACGGAGTGCTTCTAGCGAGCAATAGATTAGTCTACTTCTTTAACATTTATAACTGGTTTTATTTTTCAATCTAAATTGGAGTATAGAAGGAAAAAGGGGAAGAGATAAGGCTAGCAATAACAAGGATTTTAATTATTTTAATGCATTATATAGAGTGTATGGCTAAAACTAAGTAACAAAGTGAACACCGTCAGTGTGTATTTGTTCTGGTGAGTAGAATCATTTCCTTCATGCTCTTTGCAGAAAACATTGTTTGTTTCAGATAATATGCAGTGTTTACTATACCTCCACTGGCTACTAGAGGTGCTTCCTGGGGCAGTGCTGCAGAGTGTGACAGACATTCAGTGTCTCCGCCCTCTGCATGGAGACACTGAGCTTATCTTTGATAGATGCATTGATTCAATTAATCCCTATGAGGAGATGATGATTGGCTAGGGCTGTGTTTGGCTTGTGCTGGCTCTGCCCCTGATCTGCCTTCTTGACAGTCTCGGCCAATCCAATGCTTTCCTATGGGAAAACATTGTGATTGGCTTTGAATAACACTTCTGATGAGGTCAGCCAAGCAGGCAGATCAGTGGCAGAGCCAGCAGCAGCAGACTGAAATAAAGGTAAGATTTACAATATTTAGTAGGGGGAAAAGAGGGCCAGACGGTGTTTTTAACACTATAGGGTCAGGAATACATGTTTCTGTTCCTGAACATATAGTGTTCCTTTAACTTTCCACTATACCTCCAGGATGTCAATGAGTTGGACGATAGTACAATATACCCTGGATGAGATATCACCGTTTGATGATGGTTTTTGTTTGTTTGTTTTTTACACAAAATTAGTGACTAAATGGGAAATGTAGTTAACAACAGATAAACGACCAAACAATCGCCTCACTACACAATAAGCAAATCCCATCATGACCAGAGCCAAAGAAAGCTTACCGCAGCCAGACATCTCATGTTGGGACAGGACAGGAGAGGGCAGAAAGCCTCGATGGTGACGGAATCCAGCTTAGTGATGTCAGTGTAGCACTGGTAGAGGACGGCTGGAATCTCCCAAATCTGGCAGTAAGTCAGCACTGTAAGACAGACAATGAATCATCATCAAGGGAAACCAGTGACAAACAGCACAGTCTGCAACTGTGTCTGGGTTATTAACTAAAACGAGAATTCAAAGTCAATAATGTGCGCTCAGATCTAAGCTATCTGGGGATATGTTGAATGTACCTGTTTTATGCAATGGCTGCACAGTTATATGTTTTTATGTATTTTATTGTCTTTTGCTGCCATGTGTTCAATGGAGTTTTGCCTCTGTCCTTGGAGATAATAGGATTACTTCCCAATTATCTCCACGATAGAAGACTCTGTGGAACTGGTTTTGGGCAGAAAAGCCATGCTTCCTTTGATCACAAAGGACTACGATCTATCTTTTGAACCACTGGACCAATTTGTATGATTTTGACGTATGTTTGTATTTGGAGTATGCGGATTCTGAGAATGTGATGCATACTTTTAAAATTTATAACATGAATAATGTGGAAAACCTGTATTTCTCTGGCTGTGATAATTACATTACCCATTGTGTAAGGTAATTGTATCACAGGCAGAGGGGAGGATTTTGTGTGGGAGTGTCTGAGTGTATTGTACGTGTTTATTGGTTGTTTTCCAAAACCCTGTGGGTGGTACTAATGTGTAAGAATGTGTATATAAAAACAATAAACTCACAGCTCTGTCTGTTCACTGCTTGACCCTCAACACGGAGCTTTCTCTATTTCTTGGGGGGATTTATTGTATGCTGTTCCAGTTTGACTGCTAGGAGTGTAAACCTATTCGTATGGTTTTTCCTATTCGGCTGTTTACAGTATTCGTATGTTTGAGAGCATTCATATGCTTCTCCAGTTTGGTGGATTGGTGTCTACAGTAGCTGCCTGTGTCTCTGGAAGGGGAAGATCTTCTAAACGGCGGTTTAACCCTATTATGCCTGGGGGTGCCTTTACAGTAATTAACCCTGTTAGTGTATATCCACTGTCTGTGTACATGAATAAGGCTTGATGCTGAAACTTATTGCGGTTTTGTTCAATCATTCTAATAAATCCCATCATTTATAACACCACGCTCTGAACCCTATGGATTTTGTTTGTGGAAAACAGTAGGAATGTGGACATTTAATAAAATTAAAAAAAGAAATCTACTTGTCCAAGGAAAAAAAAAACTCAAATGGGAGCGGATTAATGGAGGGCACTGGGCAGAACGGAGTTAACCCTTGGTAGAAAGACTGAAAATTGCCCAGACCACCATATATAAGCATTAAAATTAACGTTTAATAAATACTCATAAAATCAATAACAAAGTTAAAATTAGTGAAAGGCTTAAAAGAAATTGCTTAATGTCTTCAGGCAATGTTAAAGCAAAAAAATAGAATAGAACTGTGTATATACAGCCTGTGTGAAAGATTAGGAAAAATTAAACCAAAGGATATATGGAGATATAGATATAGATATGAATCCTGCTTTGTCTGGCCCAGCTATCCGGGAGAGAAAAAATAACTAAAAAGCGTTACTAACCTGTAACTAAATCTTCAGAGCATTTATATTATATAACAAACAACTGATACAGCTGCAAATGCCCTTAAAAGTGGCTGCGATGCTCCGTTATAAATAATGTTCAGTTATAAATAATGTTCAGTTATAAATAATGCTCAGAAAAGGGTCTGACACAGAGATAGTTAAGCACTGTTAAATAAACAAGTGTTCTAGAGGATACTGTGTACAGTGAAACGTAACAAAATAATACATTAAATTTTTTTTAAATAATGAAAAGCAGGATTGTAAAGGTATAGTTAAAGCTGCTTATTATTGGAAATTACAAACAAAATAACAATTACTACGAAACTGTGCCTTTGTCGGCATCTACGCTAGTGATAGAATAGCTAATCTGCTGCAGCTAAAACCTAAAATAATCAAAGAAGGCTCCGTTTATAGTTATCACTAACAGTAAAAATTAGTTGCCTAGAACGAAGTCAGAATAAAATATATATTTTTTTTAAATAGAAGAAAAAAAAAAAAAAACAACACACAAAATAACGTGGAATCACTAGACCGTTGTAAAGACAAAGTCTGCTGGAGTGACTAAGTAAGCCACGCCCCAACGCGCGTCATGCCAGTCAGGTGTAGTGGAGCTCCCTGTACGTCCGCCAAAGGGCTGCTTCCTAGCTGGAACCGGGAAACTGATAGCGGAACTAGCTCTCTAAGTCCTTACAAGGACTTTCCCCGCTGCATCCCCTACAAGCTGGAACAGCAGACACAGGGGTCAAATCTCTCTTCCCTTCTGTAACTAGACTAGACACAGTTCTGGAGGGTCCCCATTCAGTACAACACAATTCCAGGCAGGAGGGGGCTGGGTTACAGATAGCCGTCTCCCGTTTTGGGAGGTACCAACAGCACATACAGATACATACATTAAAACACATTAAATATATGGGGGAACACTTAGGGGCTCTGTGCCCCGGGAAGGGGAGGGGTTACACATATAAAACACATTACTAGATAGCCCCGGGTCCCATCAAGGATCCCTGTAAATAGCAGGGCTATCGGATGTACAGAGACCGAGAAATCATCGTCTAAAGTCAGGGGGAGCTCGAGGCTCTGTACATCCCCGAAATTAGTTCCATGGAGTTGCTTGGTTTAGTCTAGTGAATTGAAACTTCGCACCTAAACCAAGCAACAACCAATCTGCCGAAAGTAGCAAAACCAATTCGCGCCAATCAGCGCTTTGGGAGGAGAGGGGTTTTGCCGCCCAATCAGAAGAAAGGGCGCAAAACCCGGTTGCACCAATCAGCGCTCGGGGTGGAGAGGGACCCCATGTGGCTGCGTAGCCGACTCACAGCTCCAGGGATTCCGCTTGAGCTCGCGCCTCTCTCCGGCGGTTACCTCCACTTAGGCAGCCCCAGAGAGAGAACTCTCTGGCAGCCACGAGCCTGGCCTCGTAGCTCCCGGGTAGGGGAAATAGTGATTATAGCTCAGTTAGGAGCAGGAAGGGTGATCCGAACCGCCGGTACACCAACAGTGTCTCCACCAACCTCAGGGACCAGTTCATGGAGTCCCAGTGTGAAGACCCTGCAAGGGAAGCATATCTTTGGGCAGTGGGTGTCTGTGCGCGCATTGGGCAGGGTGTGTGTGCGCGCATTAGGCAGGGTTTGTGTCTGTGAGAGAAAGTGAAGAGGTAGGCAGGTGGAGAGCACACAGTGCTCTGTCTCCTGCCAGTCACTTCATGTAGCGTGGCCAAGTTGATCTTTATCCTCTATCCGGTCTGACAGCAAGTGCGGGTAGAGGAAACAGAAGCTCATCTACCACGGTCCGCTCAGCCATGCTACATAAGGGTACGGTGACGCACACAGAGGAGCTGGGGAAGGGGACAATGATACACAGGGGTAAGGGAATGGGACAATGACATAGAGAGGGACTGGGAACAGGACAATGACACCCACACAGAGGAGATGGGGGAGGTGGCAATGACACACAAAGGGGCTGGGGAGAAAGATACATAAAGGGGAAAAGTAAGAGATAAGGAACAAAGTGTAAAAATGGGGGATTAGATCCACTAAAGGGGATGAAAGACACAAAAATGGTCAAACATTCAAATGATGGGATAAGAAACACAAAAAAAGGTAAGAAAAATAAAAGGTGGGTTAAGAGACACCCAGGTGAAGATGCATTTTTTTTTGTAGGGGGAGGGAAAGCGTCAAACTACATCTTCACCTGAGTTGTCAAAAATACTTGCACTGGCCCTTCATCCACTGCTACTCTGCAGACAACATGCTCACATACTCTGCATACACTATACACACTCACAATGCATCCAAAACACACACTGCATAGAGTATACAAACACACAATGCATCCACTACACAAAGCACACACTGCATTTACTATAAACACATACACAATGCATCCAAAACACACACTGCATACAGCACACAAACACAGACTCTGCAAAACTATGCACAAACAATGCATCCACTACACACACTGCACCCACTACACACACACGCACACTCTGCATTCACTATACATACTACATAACATAACAGGTGTGTTTTAAGTGGTGGTGTGGGGAGGGTGGGATAGGAGAGGCAGCATTTCATCCTTGGTCCCAGGCAGCACAATGTCTCCTGCTCTCACCTTAAACCAAATCAGTCTCCAATACATGGAGCACATGCCACAGACTACAACCTCAGTAATTCTGTTCCTCTGGGTTCTGGCAAGGCGCTCTGACTCAGTAGATCACGCTAGAACCGCAGATTTGGCATGTCCCTACTCACAGTAATGCGCAGTGTATACAAGGCTATCACAAAGCTCCAAAGCAATAAAACTCACAGTAATGTGCAGTGTATACAAGGCTATCACAAAGCTCCACAGTAATAAAACTCACAGTAATGTGCAGTGTGTACAAGGCTATCACAAAGCTCCACAGCAATAAAACTCACAGTAATGTGCAGTGTGTACAAGGCTATCACAAAGCTCCACAGCAATAAAACTCACAGTAATGTGCAGTGTACATAAATAGATAATGGATCTGTGCAGTACAGGGAGTCACAGAGCTTCACAGCAATAAACCTCCAAGCAAGTAAGGATTTCAGGAGATGTAAGGAGGAGATGAAACAAATGTAACACAATCCCAAATTTGCATTATCCGGACTCCCAACATTATCCGGACTCTTACCTGCAGCAGGCAGACCGTCTACAATATTGGGCTGCTCCATCAGAGTGCAGGGAGTACGCTCTGTGTATGTTTTTGTTTTTAAAGCTTTTAGGAACGGGACAGGGAGGTCGTAAGTGGATTCTGTGGTTTTGTATTCTGCGACAGGACAGGTGGATAGCACAGTTACTGTCAATCCATTCTTCTGCAGACTGCTGAACACCTGATGGAGGGCAAAATCAGAACATCACACATCAATGTAACACGTCTAACGCAGCGCTTAGCATGAGAAACCCATTAAATACAACACAGAACAGATGACAAAGGATTGAAAAAGGGATTCAATTTAAGATTCAATCAAACAAAAGTGTTATTTATATAAACATGGAGAACAGACAAGAAACTTTTATTAAAGTTCTTTAATAAAATAAATCTCCAATTCTTCTTTTTTTCCAGATTAAAGGACCACTATAGTGCCAGGGAAACATACTCGTTTTCCTGGCACTATAGTGCCCCCACCCTCAGGGACCCCCTCCCGCCCGGCTCTGGGGAGAGGAAGGGGTTAAACTTACCTCTTTCTCCAGCACCGGGCGGGGAGCTTTCCTCCTCCTCTCCTTCCTAGCGACGTCATTGGCTGAATGCGCATGCGCGGCAGGAGCCGCGCGCGCATTCAGCCAGTCTCATAGGAAAGCATTCATAGGAAGTCTCATAGGAAATCAGTTAACAGCGGATGGTAATACTGGCTACATTACAGCCAGGAAATATTGTACGATGGATCCGCCAGCCAGTTATTAAAGGAACACTATCGTCACCCAGATCACTTCAACTCAATGTGGTCTGGCTGCAGTCTCTATGAGAAGCATTGTATGTAAGTGCAGAAGGAAAAAGGTAAGATAACCTTTACTGCACACGGGGGGGGAGATCTGTATATAAATAGGGACAGGAGTACTATAGTAATATACAGGCTTGTATTCCTCACACTATAGTGCCAGTCCAGCTACATTACAGTAAGTTATTAATACATGATGCTACGTTACAGCCATCTCATACACTGCCACCATGTGATCTTTTCCACTTGCCTTCTCACACCACTGGAACAGCTGGTCTTCTGCGACATGGCAGGTGCACTGACAGACCAAGACCTGGAATAAAGGTGAGAAGATCAACCTCGGTTATCAAAATCCAATAAAGGAAGCAGTGGTCTTTAGAATTACTGATTTTTTTTATCCTTTGATTTCTTGCATACAGCTTGAAAAACCTAAAGGGAATTTAAGAATTTTGTAGTCTGAGGCCAGGGAGGAAAATGCAGATCTCTCGCCTGTTTTTGATTGACCAATAGAAAGTGCAGAATGATGATGGTGCGGACATTCTCACCTGTTTCGTGGTCGACCAATAGAAAGTGCAGGATGGTGGGGCGGGAAGACTTGCATTGCTGGAGTCTCTGCATCTTTCATTCCACAATCGGATAGACCCGGCTAATTCCCAATCCCCGGAGCTCAGGATATGAGACGATGCGAAGGCTGCAGAGAGAGTGACATCCCGAGAAATGTAATCACAATATAAAGAGGAAACACAGGACGCTCCAAATTATAGAGAATCGGTATTTACAGTTATACACAATAAAAACATTACATTAAAAAGATAATCACAGCTAAAGCTCGCGTCCAGGATTTCATACTCTGCAGTGAGAAGAAACCCAAATATTACCCATTAATTGTGCTATGGGCAAAGCAAGGGTTTCTGGTAGCTATCGCTCAACAACACAAAGTGGACACAGGAAGTAAAACTGCCTAAATTTAAACCGTGACATCAAGCTCCATTTCCCATCATATTTGGAAAGATGGCAAAAATGGTGGGTATACTGAGCAAAACTAATATTTTTGTGCTTTTTTTTTTTTTTGATGAAGAAGATTATTATTAATAGAACAATGAAAAATAAATGGCAAATAATGTGTGTGGGTCTAGAGGGAATTAAATTCAGTTCGGCTGTAGTGCTTATGGTGCAAGGAGCACCCTGGCGCCATCTCATGGTAAGATGTCTAATCGATTTAAGCATGGTTTGACAACATAATTGGTTACTGCCTGGCACCCACACTGAATATGGAATTCTCCAGTAGGATAGGCTGGATTTCTGTAGAATAAGGCCCGGCTGACACAAGAATGTTCTTATTGGCTGAGATAACTAAGCTCTTTCTGGCAATTCCAGCAGTCCTCAATGGTCCTGCTTTTTTCCATAGAACAATCCAACTTTTGCTAGGGAAGACCATGTGCCGCACTGGCAAGGCAAAAACAAATGTAACATTACAATATTTAGTATTATTATCCTACTAACCTGCAGCATTCGCTCCAATGGCCAGTATTAAATTACGACATGGCAGCTTCTGGTCTGGGGAGCTCTGAATGCTTGTGACTGTCGCAGGACTCCAGGAGACAACAACCTCTCTGTAACAAACATTAGACAACCGATCACAAACAGTGAATAATGTCTCCGCCTGTTTACAATGGGAAGAAACCGCTTTCCTTTACAGTTTTATTAAGTCGTAAGTCTTGCAATGCACTACCCACACTACCCCTGCTGCTGGTAGGCTACTCCAGGCATCCACTAACATTTGAGGGAAGAAACATACATAAATACTGCATGCTACACAACTGTCTTGCTATATAGGGAACGGCCTGCATTTCCCAGTCCAACTCTGCATCTCTGGGATTTCAAAACTTACTACCATTGGCACCATATTCTAATGTCAAACACACACTATGTCCTGAGACCCTGGTGCATGCCAGATCTGAATAAGTAAATGTAGCGGATGGGATTAATGCAGAGCAAACACCTGGAAGAATGAAGGTTGTTTAGAAATAAAGTATTTTCATGTTAACGAAATTAGAAAAGCACTCTGGAAGTGACAGTTCCTCAGTCCTTCACCCTAGTAAATGCTCTTAAACCACTTTTTGGTTTTTGGCAACATGACCACCCATGATGCTCAGCAGTTCTTTGGAAAGTGCCCCAGGAGTGAACTACTTGAATAATACTGTATGCACACACATGCCCACACAGCACCCGAGTGGGCACACAGTGGAAATAATTATTTAAATTAAAAAAAAAAAAAAACATTGTTAAGGACCCACTCTCTAAGTAAACCTATAGGAGCAGCTACAGAATTTTAAAGTGGCTCAGTTACTTTCAGGGGTCTCTGTATATTTTGTAAAAATCCCACTCTACACACCATCACAGCTCTGCATAATTGCATGTTGATGCACACCCTCAGCTCAGAGAGAGACTTAGAATTGCAATGTAAAAAGAAATCACTGCATGTTTAACCCGGTTTCTCAGATCTGTCAATCATGTAGTCAGAATGCCTGATGTCAATTTTACACAACTGGGGCAGAACTCTCTCCTCCCTGGACCAATCACGGCTTCTATCCGTTTACAAAGCAGCCCGACCTGTGTGACGTCCGTAACTGCGCATGGGCATAGAATGCTTATCCCACAATCCTCCCCAGCTCAGAATGGAGTTTTGTTGAACAGGAACAGACCACCACGGATCTGAACGAACGGTTCCTGTTTGCGTGGTCTCTTGTTAAGGAGGGATGGCTTTGTCTGTAGCAGTACCAAGCCTCTGTAACCTGTGCCTCCATTAACCCATCATCTGCAAAGGGGGCAGACGCTACCTCATGTTTTTAAACTACAGCTTCCATGATGCTATGTCATTCTAATGCTTTCTAAAGGCATGCAAAGCATCATTGGAGTTGTAGTTATTATTATTATTGCCATTTATATAGCGCCAACAGATTCCGTAACACTTTACAATATTATGAGAGGGGGATTTAAAGGGACACTATGGTCACCCAGACCACTTCAGCTCAATGACCTCCAGGTTTTAACCCTTCAGATGTAAATATAGCAGTTTCAGAGAAACCTGGGAGCGGACGTCGGCGGGGGAGGAGAGGTGCCCGGCGCTGGATTAAAGTAAGTAGCTGAAGGGGTTTTAACCCCTTCAGCGCCAAGGGAGGGGGGCCCTGAGTGGGGGGGTCCTAAGGGGTATATAGTGTCAGGACACTATAGCGATCCTTTAACTATAAATAGGACAATTACAAAAAAACTTACAGGAACAATATTTTGAAGAGGACCCTGCTCAAACAAGCTTACAGTCTATAGTTCTACAACATCTGAGGAATCTACCTTTTGGGCATCCCTGTTCTACGCAATATGGTGGTAAAAGCCATCAGCATTAAAATCACCTGCCTATTGTGTAGGCTCCCTACAGAATTGAAGGTATACTAAGGATCAGAATATGCTTTAATAAAGTGCAGTTACACCGTATGTATTCCCAGCAGAAGCTGCGAGGTGTCTGCCATTTAAAATAAATAATCATACCTTTTCATTTATTATAAAATTATGATAATGTCTGGTCAGTCGGCAGAGGTAAAATAAGCAGGTTTGTCTTGAAAATTATTTGTTGCAATAAGGCAGGTCTGTATCCAGAAAAGATCAAGAACTATTGATCTTTATAAGCCAATCAAAATAATAGCAATGCTCGAATAATGGATTAGTTTCAGAATATTTGTAAATCTGCCATTTTGCAAAGTGACAAATTTCTTTACCAATTCACGGTTTAGTAAATAAACCCCTTTAGCAAAATGTAAAAGTCCAGGTTGTAGAATTTTATATAATTTTAACTAAATGAATTTGCCTTGGCTCATAAACCACCCAAAGCGTACAAATTTCAAGATACATCAACTGATTCGTGTAATGATCGTACGCCGACATAAAACTAGCAAACACACAGTTTAATTAATAGACTACTGAGCTTACGCTCACTGGGGCCACTTTCTTTCTCCAATCTGTGCTGTAGGAGGAGAGCACCTGCTAGCGCGCCTGCTGATCTACAGAAGGGTGAAGCTGGACTGAAGAGCTTACATTCTACACAAGATAAACAGGTCACTAGGTCACTGTGTGTTTGAAATTAGTTTGTACATTGTTCCCAGAACACATCACTACAACAGTGATGGGCAGTACATGAAAAGTCATGCCCTGTGTTATGTAGAATTCATATTATTAATGAATCATGTAGCATATGAATGCTGTACACACAGCAGGGCATTCCCTATGTACTGCCCATCCAGAGGATGAAATTATTTGTGACCAGTAAAACTGGGTGTCTGGCAACACTAAAAGGACTTACCTTTTCTTTTCTAACTCCTTTTTAATCTCTTTGTCTTCCTCTTCATCCTCTTCTTCCTCCTCCTCATCTTCATCATCCTCCTCTACAGCCCTGGAGAACACAGACATCACCTCACCAAAAAAGGTGGCCATTCTCAGTGCTGAAACCTGCTCTGTGCTACTTCCTGGTCTCCCCAGGCTGAGTGCAGGCCATGAGGGATGACACAGACACCCACCTCCCAGGCTGGGCCAGGCCTCACTGTGCTGGGGGGAGGACCTAGCCGGCAGTGAGCGATAGTCACCAGCAGAGGGCGACAGAGAACGTGTACAGACTAACAATGGGAAAGTGCAGTGCTAGCAGTACAGTAACATTACCACTAGATGGCGATAAACCTAGCCAGCAGTGAGCGCTAGTCACCAACAGAGGGCGACAGAGAACGTGTACAGACATACAATGGGAAAGTGCTATGCTAGCAGTACAGTAACATTACCACTAGAGGGCGATAAATATTTGATTAATTTTTTTTTCAATATATTAAAACTGTGTTCTTCATCCTTTTAGCACCCGGGGACCAGAGGCGTATCTAGGTTCATGAAACAGTAAAAAAAAAAAAAAAAAATGTATTTCTTGTTTAGATCAATTTCAATCATTTACTACATTTTTAAAGGTGCTGTTCGTATATAATTTCTCCACCATGTAAAGGGAAACTAAAGAAACATATGTAGCAATATATTTTGTTTCCTAATCCTCTCTGTCCCATAAAAAAAAAATTATAAAAAGGAATTGAAAGTTTCTGAGGTTTCCAGCAGTCACTCGAAGCCCTGCGTGCGATATGGAATCACTGCAACTCGTACACATGAAATAGCAACGCTCCATATACAATGCTTTCCCAATAATGCCAATAATCTGTGTTATCAAATCATAAATATATATATTTGCACATATTTGGACTTGTGTGAGGATGGTGATGTGCCAGAGGAATGTTTGTCACCATATTGCAAGCATAGAAAAATAAGAGAAGGGTCAGCGCTAATAAAATTGAAGTGAGGTAGACAGCGGCCCAACAGAGGGTAACCCTCTGAGGAGAGAACATGTAACCAACGTAGTTGGTCTCACTGATATGGTGGGACTAAAGTTCTGATGGAGTAACTGAAGGTAAAGTCCGATAATATTGAGGTCTCACTCAGAAGTATCTTTATAAGGTGCCTGTTTTGGGGTGTAGTCCCTAGTGGTCCAACCGTCCCGCTTATATGCAAGACAAAAACAAGGAGACCCAATGGTGCAGTATACAAAAGCCAATATGGGTAAAATAAACAAATATGTTCAATCAACTTACATTTAAAAGAGCAATAGCCAGCTCTGGTGTGAAGGGCGTGCAGCGGTATAATCCCCGCTTTAAAGGATATGTGATGGGAGTCCTCCAGAGGGATGGTATCCAACACTCAGGAGAGGGATATATAAAAGATAGCCAATAGTGCTCTCAGTAGAATAAAATATGCAGTAAACATAAATAAAAATGTACTCACAAGTGAAGTGAAGGCAAACTGCACTGTGATGTCAGCGTTGGTGGTATGATCCCCACCTCGGATATACTTGGAGTCACACGAAGGTAAAAGGAAGCCAGGTTAAAAATTCCAAATAAAATAAAATATTGCAAGCATAGTAGAGGCACATCACACCTTATGACAAGCACAACACCTCATTGCAAACACAACATTAATAAATCACCTTTTTACTGGCATAACACTGGGACATCACACCATACGAATGCTGGACTGAGGATAAAAACCAGCCCCGGAAAAGGTTTTATACCAATTGACAGGAATTGCCCCAGGACTTACATCAGCAAAGAGATTGCACTCACAGGACTTGCCTGAGCACCCATATCTTACCCAATACTGAGATTGCACTCACAGGACTTGCCCCAGCACTTACCCCATCACAGAGATTGTGCTCACGTGACTTGCTCGAGCACCCATATCTTACCCAATACTGAGATTGCACTCACAGGACTTGCCCCAGCACTTACCCCATCACAGAGATTGTGCTCACATGACTTGCTCGAGCACCCATAACTTACCTAGCACTGAGATTGCACTCACAGGACTTGTCCCAGCACCCAGGACGTACCCTGGAATTTAGATTGCATCCACAGAACTTGCCGGATGACTTCAAACAGCCTCCTGCATGCACCATGCAGAAGGAAAAAGATGCCGGATATGAGATTTCCGGCGGCAACAAAGGCGGCATCACATTAGCCGAGAGACTACTCTCTCACTCTCTTACGGCCGCATCTGCATCTCGCCACTGCCAAATTCTTAATGGCCACATCCCACAGCGGCCCCAGGGTAGTTCGGCCCTGCACCCTATTACAAACAGGAGTCTTTGCTGGTGTCACTACATTTTTTTTATAGCCAAATACTTTGGTATAGTGGGGACTGCATGTGATGTATTGGGGTGTCAACAGGGCCAGATTAAGAGCCCAGTGGGCCTGGTGCTGACAATTATGACGGGCCTAATTACAGAATCATATCGACCAAAAACAGTAAAACACTCCCAAGCGTCATGTATCTGATGGAGATGGTGCTGGAGAGAAAGAAAACAGCAGCTATAAGAAAACACATACCCTAGGCTAATCTCTCACTAATTTATGTTTTCGTCTTTCAAGTAAATCCATAACCCCTAACAGCAGTGTCCAGTCAAGCAGGAAGTCAATGGGCATGGTAAAAGGGTGTGCCACTGACACAAATCACGTAACCTGCCAAAAGGGGCGAACATGCCCAAAAAGAGGACATGTCTGCCCAAAGAATTAGAAGCCAGCCTGGTATGAATGCATGTCAGGCTGCCTGCCAATCATGCAGCTGGCCAACTAAGGGCATACTATGCAGACAGCACCCTGAGCTTGGCATAAATGCATCTAATGATGCGCTCACTCAACGCTTTCTAAGGACTGTCCCCTAGCACTCGCTGGTCCACTTGTCTCCTTACCTTCTTACTAGCAGGCAGAAGCTCCTGGTATATAGTCTGGGACAGAGAAAAGCTGTATGTAGTGAGTGTAGAAGAAAGGGAACATGCCACAGTGTTAGAGAGACCAAAGTCAGCATTACCTTAAAGGATCACTATAGGGTCAGGAACACAAACATGAATTCATGACCCTATAGTGTTAACACCACCATCTAGCCTCCCTGGGCCCCTCATGCCTCCATAAATATAGCAAAATCTTACTGTATTCAAGCCTGAAGCTGTAACTCTGCATGCTGTTCTCAGAAAAACAGGCAGTCTGCTGACATCATTAGAAGTGGTGGCCTAATCCAATCACAGTGCTTCCCCATAGGATTGGCTGAGACTGACAAAGAGGCAGATCAGGGGCAGAGCCAGCATGATTCAAACACAGCCCTGGCCAATCAGCATCTCCTCATAGAGATGAATTGAATCAATGAATCTCTATGAGGAAAGTTCAGTGTCTGCATGCAGAGGGAGGAGATACTGAATGTTTGGATGCATTTTAGGCAGCCATGACCCAGGAAGGATCTCTAACAGCCATCTGAGGAGTGGCCAGTGAAGTTATCACTAGGCTGTAATGTAAACACTGCATTTTCTCTGAAAAGACAGTGTTTACAGCAAAAAGCCTGATAATGATTCTACTCACCAGAACAAATTCAATAAGCTGTAGTTGTTCTGGTGACTCTAGTGTCCCTTTAACTATATTCATTGTCAGCCAGTCCACACAAGTTTTGTTCCCATACATCCCTCTTAAGTTTCCATACTTAAATAAGAGTATGTGAAAAGTAGTTAGGGTTGCCACCTTTCTTGGAAAAACATACCGGCCTTGCTAATTTGCATAATTAAATATGTATGGGTGACATCACATGATGTAAATCACAAGGAGTGACATAAGAGAAAATGCTGTAAAATCACCAAAAAACTACTTAGTTTGATTCTGCTGTATAGATGGATTCCTCCCAGTGCCCTCGTGACTCAGTGCCCACATGTGTCGATTACTCATCATGTCATCTGTGACCTGTATAAAAGATGGTGAATTCTAGAGCAACACAAACTAAAATTTCGTGTTTCATTCTCACACAATATGTAATCCTGAGTACATACATACAATCTATTCAAAAGCTTCACTTCGTTACTTACTGTGTTAGTAGTAATGGCACTGTCTAGAAGGTCCACTCCACGCTCACTCAGTCCCTATGCCAGCTGCAATCTCAGCCAGGTAGGTAAGGTGTCAAACCTTAGGTGTAGCCGCATTATCTGCTCCGCTCGCTCCCTCCCTCCCTAGTCCCTCTGCATTCTCCAGGCAGGGTAAGATGTGACTGCGCTCTCTGCTCACTTCTACCCCCCCTTCCGTTCTCTGTTCCCCTCTCTTGCATGTCTCTCCCCCCTTCCATGTATCTCATTTTCTATCCATGTCTCTCCTACCTTTTATTCATATCTCCCCCTTCCATCAATGTCTCTCCCCTTTATGTCTCCCTTCCATCCATATCCCCCCCAGTGTCCCCCTTGCCAACCCCCCCTTTCATCCATATCTTTTCCCCACCCTTGCCAACCTCCCCTTTCATCCATATCTCTCCCCCTTGCCAACCTCCCCTTTCATCCATATCTCCCCTTCTCCCCTTTCATCCATATCTCTCCCCTTGCCAACCTCCCCCTTTCATCCATATCTCTCCCCCCTTGCCAACCTCCCCCCTCAATATCTTCCCCCTTGCCAACCTCCCCCCTTCCTTAATATCTCCCCTTGCCAACCTGCCCTCTTACTCAATATCTCTGCCCCTTCTTCAATATACCCTCTCATCCTTCCTGAAATCTACCTATGTGACCATCCCATGCAGCACTCACAGAGGCTCTCCTAACTTGCCTCCCTTCTTGCCGTTTTGCCTGTCATGGCAAGGGAGGGGGGCGCCCGATGTCCAGCACTCTGTCTCCTACGCAGACTGCAAGGGGGAGGCGCTCCTCCTGTGTACTGTGCATGCGGTTCCTTGAAGGAGCCGCACGCTGCCTGGGGACGCAAGCTGAGCGGAGGGCGCAAAAATCACTGCTCACATTGAGAATTGTCAGAAAAAAATATTTCTTAATCAACTTAAGCAAACTAAAATTCTCTTTGCACTCTGTTTGTATCCCTAGCATTTCCCATTTTAGCAAATACCTCAGAGTTATTCAGTAACGTGTGAAGTGTTGGGAATTCAATAACCAATTCGTAAAAAATAATTCTCCAAGTCAGCTGGATTTTCAGCCCATATATATTTTTGCTTGAAGGCTTACTCCAAGCACTTGAAGTGGTCATGGTGCCTGGAGAC